CCCCCCGCCCACCTTGCCCTCATTCCTGCCACCAAACCCCTTCCCCCAGCACATCCCCCCAGCGCTGATCCTGTAGCAGCCCAACCTGCTCCCACAGCCCTCAGGGCTGCGCTGGCAGCAGGGATAAGGGGGAGGGCTGAGGGCAGTGCAGGCAGGAGCAGGCAGGATGCTGCCAGGCCCTTTCTGGGTAACCCAAGCTCCTGCAGCTGAGGGGCCCTGCGATGTCGGGCTCAGGTAACAGGAGCCCAGCCTGGGCCTCCTGGAAAAGCAGGTGCCTTGTCATCACCGCAGGGTCCCACTGAGCTGGCCTGGGGCTGGCTGCAGAGTGAAGGTGGCCCCGCGTGAGGGCTGGCAGCAGGGAGAGGCCGGGGTGTGCCCTGAAATCGGTCTTCTACACAGCCTAGAAAGAGGCAGCACCACTCTGCCCGCGGCCAGGCAGGAGAGGGTTTGGCTCAAACCTCAGCCTGCTGTGCATTTTTCAGGCAAGGGCCCGTTTTGGCAGCAGGGGCAGGCTCCTGACCTAGGCGCAGTCTGGCTCTCCAGCCCCCCCCCATCCCTTTTGGTGCATCACTGCCACAGGCTGTTGGGGCCAAAACACCGGCCAGCTACCAGCCCTTCCCCTCCTCCCCAGCCGTCCCCGTCCTCGAGGGATGCTCCTGTTGTCTTCACCTCCATGCTCACAGGAATCCCTCAAGGTCTGCCACCGCTTCACTTTAAATATCCTGTAAAGAGGAGAATATCCCCCTCCCACGCTGCAGCCCTTACCCAGCACAGCTTTGCTCCAAATCCCAGCCAGACCAGCACCGCCAATTAGCAGCTTCGCCAAAATCCCCTCCCCAGGCTCAACCTTCAAGCGACCCGCATGGGCCAAGGTGGCGGCATGGCAGTGCCCAGGTGCCCGAGGCCTCTGGCACAGGGCATCCCGGTGTCACCGGCTCTGGTCTAGCACAGAAGGCAGGACAAGAGAGCCAGGGCAGCACAGCAGGCATTGCCATGATGCTGCAGCCCATGCACAGGCAGGTGGGCACTCAGCCATCCCCATTCCCAAGTGGGTAATGCTGGGGAGATCCCAGCAGCCAGAGGCCACAGTGATGGGAACAACGGCTGGCATGCCGGGAACCTCTTGCCTGGGGGGCTTCTCCCACCTCTGTCCTGGTGGGGATCCCTCCCGGTGCCGAGCTGGGCCAGGGGCTGTGTCTTCCCTGTGAGCTGGATGTCCACATCCCTTCCACCTCCTACTCTGGCCATACCTGGAGCTGCTACACAAGGAGGGGACTCTGCCCTGCCATGGGGACCTCCCCAGCCCCACAAGGTCCCCTCCTGCTGCCCGGGGCCAGAGGGAGAGTCCTGTGCTTCCCCACCACCCCGGGAGCGTGATTAATGTGGTCTGACAGCAGCAGCCCTCGGCTGGGGCCCAGCCAAGGAGAGCAGGGACACAGGACACCGGAGCCAGCCTAGCCAGCCTCGCATCCTGCCCCGGGCCAGTCCCAGCCCGGCAGCTGGGGCCAGGAGGGCCCCTCAGGACCCCATAACCACCCACTGCTGTGGGACTTACCGATGTACTCTGGGTCCACCCGTGGCGAGTAGAGCCCGAACTTGATGAAGATGGGGAGGACGAAGCCGAAGCGGACCCACTCGATCACATAAAGAGGGGGACGGGCCTCCTGAGCGTCCAGGAGGTCACAGCCCAGCACCGTGCTCTCCCCGACTCGCCCCACCACGGCCTGGGACTCGCTCTGGCCGCTGCCTGCTGGGACC